ATATGAGCCACAACCAACCAGTTGCCAATAAAGAGTTCAACTATTCAACTCCTGGCGTCATCGTCAGATCAGAGGCCCAAGTGTGAGATTATTTCACATCGACACGCTCTCGACGGACAGCGCGTTTGGCGTTGCAACCGCAACGCCAAACGCGCTGTCCGTCGACAGCGTGTGTGTGTGAGTGTGTGTGGTGTGGTGGAGATTTCAATGAGGACCAATCGCAACACCGAACGCGTTCACCCATGACGATCGAGGAGAAGTGAAATAAACTCACACTTGGCCTTCAGTCCAAGGTTCAAAATGATAGTAGTAAGCTACATGTACATAAAATGTTTTATTGCGATACAACAATAGCAAGCAGGTTAAAATTAACATTTAGGATTTGTTTACGTCGTTAGCTGGTTAAGAATGCAACTAATAAAAGCGTGCTAATTTAAATGTGTGGCTAACGTTTGGGACTTGAAAAGGCTCTTTAAAAAAGACCCATAACAGTATTTGCAAAGTATAATTCTAGAAATGAATTTATCTGAGTGTTGTACTAGTACGTTGTTTACATGTGTTTATATTTGTTATTATTACAATTATTTGTTATTATTATTGTGTTTATATTTATTATTATTACAAATCGTTATTGTAATAATAACAAAAATAAAACTTGAGACACTCCTCACACCGACCCAAACTAGCCTGAGTCTGTACTGTGGTAACCAAACACCAACCAACAATATAGACACATCAGTACATACATTACAATACATAAATACAGTACAAGAATATATAAATGCATATGCAAACAGATAATGATAACTATTTTAATATTGAACGTAACCGTGCGGTGACGGATTAAGAGTACAGAGTGTCACCACCACTATTAATCACATGGGTGTCGTAAGAGACGACTAAGGGAGCAAGCTCTGCAGGACAACAGCACTGCAAAAAAAAGAAAAACTTGAAACAAAACCTATACCAACACGTCTAGCCAGCCTGGCATAGTAGGCCAAAACCTCCATTGTAAGGAGAGGCCTATGTCCAGCAGTGGACTGTTAAGGGCTGTTGATGACACAGTTATTTGGCACGGGAACCAAACCCGTCAGTGGTAGCTTAGTAGTCAGTAGATTAACAGGTCCTTTAAATAACCAACTATCAATGATTTTCAGTTTTATTTGGATTGCTCATGGTGGCCACGCTGTCATGGGGAAGTCCTTTTTGCAGTCACTGCCCAAGACAAAGGGCTCCTGTGTGTGGCGTCAACGGAGTGACCTACTATAATAAGTGCCAGTAAGTGGAATATTACTTGTCATCAGTAGTTACTCTCAGAATTGTTGACCTAAGTAGTCTTTATGTCTATACTTTATCTATGTAATTATTCTGTCCGTGTGTATGTGAGTGAACTCCCCGTGTGTATGTGACCGGTTTTGATGTGTTTTTTTCTGTGTGTTTAAGTGGACTCGCGAATAGTTAAGATTCACAATTCGGTCCACTACAAAATGTTCTTGTAGTCTAAGACGCATGGGAATAGAAAACCAATGAAAATTGTTGCAAAAGTGGGGACAGAAATTTGGCACAGAGATGGGTTATAATCTAAAATAAGACTACTAGCAATAGTAAACTACCAGATCTCTTCTTTTTTTTACTTTTCCTTACTTTTACCGGGGATGAGGGGTGGGTTGTCGGAACGGAACCGATTAAAACCACACAGTGTGCCATTCTGAGCCTCAAATAGGAAGGATCCGGGAACTGCTGCTATTAAAACATCCGGCAACTACCAATTAATTACTAACTTCGATTTAATTAATTAATTAATGACTTACTCCGATTTCAATATTTAATTAAGTATGTGAGTATTATCGCTTTCTGCACCTCGAAAATGCAAGCCCGAGTTTTTAAAAGTGTTTAAAAAACTAAGAAAGATAGATACGATACAAATTATAGTAATATTTTTTGCTTTCACAGTCTGTCTTGTGTACGTGTGCCGATAGCTTATGTTGGGGCCTGCAGACTTGGAGCAAGGATATAAACGTTTATACTGAATGGACACGGCTTTGAAAATTATACTTCTCACTGAACGAAAATGACACTGCTTTAAATTGGACACAAATTCTAAATATACTAATAAATGTTTTTGGCTATTACTGAATCTGGTGGTATACCTAATTTTTGCGTATAAAACCAAGTATTACCTTTATCTAGATTAAGTAGGTATACGTCTAAAAAATTAATTTCATTTCATTTATTCATAAACAATTTACGATTGTTTGAACGTTAATAATAAATCGGTAGTACAATTAAAGAGAACATATAACAATATATACAAGAAATAATTGAAGATTAAATTAAACAAAATAAACAAGCAAACTAAAAAAAATATTCAAATATCATCGTCATCATCAACAGCCTTTAATAGTCCACTGCTGGACATGTGCCTCTTCTTAAAAAGGAGGTTTTGGCCTACTATACACGCTAGCCAATAGCCAAACAGGGTTCTTGTCAAGTTTTCCTTCTTTTTGCAGTGCTTTTGTGCTGCGTAGTTTAGCTCCCTTGGTTCGCTCTTACGACACCCACCACAGCATGAATAGGGATTGTGACATTCCGTATGCTTAATCCATCACCACATGGATAAATGTCAAATATCATAAGAAATGTCAGAAACAAATGTTAAATACTTTTGTCCATAATCCTACTTTCGTTAATAAAAACTATCAGCATTATCCACATATAATAATAAAAATTATTATTAACGTATATTGGCATTTATGAATTCGGACACTGAATAATAAGCAGGAAGGCCTATTGTCTAGCAGGCAGGCCTTAAGTTTTCTTTTGATGGTAAAATTTTATACAGAAGATCTTTTAAATCAATCGGTAAACAATTAAAAAGTTTTATTGGTTGGTCTGTTGGTCTAGTGGTTAGTGACCCTGACTGCTAAACCGGAGGTCGTGGGTTCGATTCCCACCCAGGACAAATATTGTGTGATGAGCACGGTCATTTGTTCTGTGTCTGGGTGTAATTTATCTATAATATGTATTTAGAAATATATAAGTATGTTTATCAGCAGTCTGGTTACCATAGTACAGGCTCTGCCTAGTATGGGATGAGACGGCCGTGGGTGAGTGTGTGAGATATATTATATTATATTATTATTATATCACCTGGTACTGAACACAGAACCAAACAACATTTAATTTAGAGTCCTCTTTAAATCTCAGATGTTTCTTCCTAGTACCTGCTCTGATCAATCTTTCATCCTTGGTTTCAAATTCGTGGATGTATTTAGACAAATAACGTCATTAGTATATGTAAGGTACTGTTCATAATGAAAGACTATGGAAGTATTCACGACACGAATCTCTTTGTGATATTCCGACCATAACCTATCATCTAAAATATGCTGAGCTTATAGTACGGATTGGTCTGTTCATATTTACATCATAATCTCACCTCCCTTTCTCCAATTTTGTTTAGATTCAATGCAATGTGTAACATAACAAAAAGTTCTGGCTGGTTTTTTTATTACGGGAAACATATCTGGTATCAACCTTTCTTGAGAGTTTTATGACTTTCAGACAGAACAAATAAAGGAGGTGAAATTGTGGTGAAAATACAGGATGAGGAAGCTTGAGTAAAGTACCTATACTGTTTCTGCATGTCTCGCATGGAACAATGGACTGAGACTGCATTAGTCGTATTTATACTTGTGATATTTAGGAATATTTGTAGTAATTGGATTGGGCATAAATCTAATCCGTATGGTATAATAATAGTAGTAACAAAAATAAGATTAGTGCGAATCAATGATTATAAGGACAATGTTGAAAAAGGTTTTCACATTTTGATAATTTTTGCCTGTTTATTTCCCAGGCATACAAAAAGTTCAAAATATAATAAAATAACTTCAACGTGCTATGGAATGGGAATCGCATCAGGAATGAGGTGATTTGGCAGAGAACAAGCTGAAGTGGCAGCGGACTGGCCATATTTATGAAACGAGATTTTGAGTGTAGACCGTGTCTCGGCAAACATAGTGTAGGCCAGGTGGAGTGACGATTTGTGCAAGATGGCTGGCAGAAGCTGGATGCGAGAAGCTTAAAATCGATCTAAGTAGCGTGCATTGGGAGAGGAATATGTTCAGCAGTATACTGCGATAGGCTGATGATGTACTTAACTAATTTTTAATCTGAACTAGCTTTTAAATATTAACCTATACATGAACTATGTGTAAATATATAGACAACAACAAAAGCATCAGTTGAAGAACTTCGATGTTCGCGTTTCCTTCCAGGTCCCTAGGGTCCGTTTCTACTGATGGACAGACTATGTTCGTTAATGGGTAGCGGTACTGACAATTAAATACTGAATGACCATGATTTATGCCTTTACGAGCTCTATGGCTTGAGACTTGAAAAAGTTCCTTGACATACACTACCATAGAGATATATTTTACAGATACTAAGAAGAGAGAAAGAAATATTAACCTCTTAAGTCTAATTATTTTGTTTGGTTCTAGTTATTTTGGTTTTAATGACATGACCCTTAAATATTTAGGCATTTACATTTATTAACTGAAATCCGTAAAACCTTTACCTATAACTTTACATAGCATACATTTTAATGAATTGAGATGAATGGAAAAGACAAAATGTTTCAATTGACAGTAAAAAAAAAAAAACTTTGATAGACAAAACATGATTAATTCTGGCTGCAAGTTTATAAAATATAATTCTAAACATAAGGTTCCAGCAAGTTACTTACTTAAGGAGATGAAATGTTCAATTCTTCTATCGTATTCTGAAGTTTTAGGCTTCTGGAATTGGAGTTCCTTCTAGATGGTCACCTCAAATCAAAATATTTGAAAAAATCCTTATTGTCCATTATAGTTGATTGTTTGCGTATATTCATATCATTATTTCGTTTATTTTCAATAGCCATATATATTAGGCCTTTGTATAAAAGAATGGAGTAACTTCAATCGTCTTTCAGTAGCTGTAGGACTGCATTAGTCATGGAGTCTGCGACAGGTAAGATTTAATTTAATATTATTTATGAAAAATAAAGGTTTAATTAAAAATGGCGTGAGGGGTATATAGACCTCCGGTTGAAACGAAGTTTCTTTCGAAATTTGGTAGACGTTTGTTATACACTCATTATAATTTATATGATAAAATAACAAGTTAACAGTGTTAAATTGAAAAATTTATGATAAAATGTTTATTCTTTTTGCGCGGGAAAGCTGTGTGCGGCGATGTACATAATTTATAACTACCTATAGCAAGAAGTGTCGGAAAAAAGTCTTGTTACACATTTTTCGGTCTCGCTTCCATCCGCTCAGAGCATGCAGCGCGCGATAAGGAAGTTCGTTTCAAATAATAATAAACATAAAAATTTGTAGTTTTAATTTTATAACATATTTATAAAAGTAGATAGTCGTATATCATACTGGGTCGTTGATCTTGACTAATATCGGTTAGGCTACACGATGGCTGGGGCTCGTATGCCGTCTGTATGGGCAGGCCGTCAAAACTATGGGCATTTTTTCAAAAGGTCTATCCAGACCCTACACTGTACTCGCACAGTTTTCTTAAACTAAAAAAAAAGACCTCTGTTGTTTGTTTCAGCGTTTAGTCCCAGAGTAAGTCTTAGGCAATGCGGGCTCCATTTAGCTGTAAAGTCCGACTTATAAAAATACCTGAAAAGACTTACAGAATACTTACTTACAGAAATAAATATCGTTTCATTACCACACAAAACAAGTCGTATAATACCACAACTTAGTACGGTCCGAAATAAGCTCCCTGTATTATCCATACAGGAATAAATCCTAGTTTATATACTTTAATAAGCCACCGTTTATATTTTGTGGTCTTATAAATACTTAGTTGTTCAGATTTTTTTTAAAGCATTCTTATTTTTAGTCTTCAATATGAGAGCAAAATAAAACTCATTTAAAGAAATGTCTTATATGTGCTTTGGAATAATCATTAACAGCACTTAAAATAGTTTAAAAATCATTAACAAAAATCATTGTAATTTGCTTTGTTTCAGCATCATCTTTAATTTTGTTGCTCATGGTCAGTATGTCCCAATCAGCGAGCTGGTGCGACTGCCCAAACACGTATAACCCTGTATGCTCAGTAGATGGAGCCACTTTTCGTAATACTTGCGAGTTAGTATTTTGTAAATTATTAAATACTCGTATAATGATCTGGTGGGATGATTAATGTTGTTTTCTATGAGTTCTTACTCACAACGTAGATAGGTAGCAAACCGTTGTACAAAGTAAATAGCTAAAACATTTCAATACTTCAAGCATATGGACAGTATTAGCTTAATAATTTGATGATTACTAAGAATATTGCTATAAAATAAGCATTGATAGTGTTCGTATTACCAGAAATTCAAAAAAGAATAAATACTAACTGTAATAAATTAATCCATACTTATATTATATATGTGAAAGTGAGTTTCTTTGTTTTGTTTGTTTGTTTATTACGCTTTCACGCCGAAACCACTGAACCGATTTTAAACATTCTTTCACAAATGGAAAGCTACATAATTTGCAAGTAACATAGGCTACTTTTTATCGACACAAGCTAGTAAGATAAGAACTTGTAAAGAATAAAACCACGTCAACCGCGTAGAAAAGAAAACACAGCAATGTTCTTCGGCTAAACTAAGTAACACACAAACCTATTCAACAAAGGATGTGATTGCTTATGAAACTAAAAATCACAATGCTATTTTTATTTTTGCAGAGCTAATATAATATTTTGTGTGTTCCTTCTAGATTGTTCTGTGAAGGTAAAGTGTTAGCTTACGATGGTGAATGTGGTGACACCGTTGTATACAATCCTGCTGACCAGTGCACCTGCCCAACTGTGTATGACCCTATATGCGGTAAAGATGGAGAAACGTACATTAACGCATGTTTGTAAGTTTTCTTTCAAATTTTATATAGACCACTAGTGAAATTACACTCTGACCTCTAGACCAAGTGCATACAGAACAATAAGTAGCCATCAAACAGATTAAACAGATTACTAATCAGCTGACTGTACGGATGGTGTTGTGGTTGAAGCGGTTGCCATGCCGCTTACTACTACGCTGAGTGTTGTGGGTCCGATCCCCGTATGGGACGACACTTTGTGTGATCCACAAATTTTTGTTCTGGGTCTGGATGTTCTTTGTGTCCGTTTCATGTATATTTGTGAAGTCCCCCGCGACATAGGATAAATAAATAATGCGGGAGTTGTCTTTAAAAAAAAAGAAAAAAAAGTTGAAATACTTTTACAAAGTATGGTGCTAAGCATTACTGAAAGTAATCATGCCTCAGTTTAGTAAAATAGAATTAATTATTTACTTCATTTCATCATCATCATCATCAACAGCCTATACTAGTCCACTGCTGGACATAGGCCTCTCCTTAGAAAGGAGGTTTTACTTCATTTAATACAACTGAATTTAGTTTAAAGTTAAACTGTGTTTATATATTTTCATACTTTAAGATTTATAAATAGCGTAAACTCAATTTGATGATAAACAGTCCCTATGAGCGTGAACAATTGGTCCCACTCCCCTCCCAAATAAAAATTGATATCTTCAATCAGTCTGTTTGCATATAGGCTGTACCCAGCAAGGCAGTATCAAGTATGACTAACAGTGCCCTATAGCGAATGGCTTGGCATTTAATTATGAAAAGTAAATACGTTCATAATCCCGGGTGACATAAAGTACTAAAAAGTTAAAATTAATTACAGAAAGCACAAACTGTCTTGAAAATAGAAAGTTTTAAAATGATTTGTAAGTTATTTTAATATAACTAATGGTATATAATAAAGTGTTCTGAAATATAATAATATCATTACTAGCTGACCCGCTCAACGTCGTCTGCGCCGCTAAAAAGCAATGAATTTTCCCCGTTTTTGCTCGTGACGATCGGCTCCTATTGCCCTATCCTATCTTATAGACTTTTTCTATAAAGTGGTGATCCAGAAATGAAAGATTTGTTAGATCCGAACCAGTCGTTTGTGAGATTATCGCATTTAACCAAATAAATAAACTCTTCAGTTTTAAAATATTAGTATAAATACTGATATTCTTGCAGTGCATCGTGTTCAGGTGTGAAGTTAGATTACCAAGGAGAGTGCAGTGAAGTGACAACTAGGAAGAAGCACTGCCAATGTCCTAATGTCTACCGGCCCGTGTGTGGTGTCAATAGGATTACGTACACCAATACTTGTTAGTAAGTAAATAAGTATTTTAAACATTCAGAATCACCGTATGTATTTTATCCTTATTACATCACATCACATCAACAGCCTTTACCAGTCCACTGCTGGAAATAGGCCTCTCCAAGGAAGATTTGGCGTACTATACCACGCTGGCCAGAGGATGGTATAGGGTTTGTGTCAAGTTTTCATTCTCACTGCAGTGCTGTTGTCCTGCGTAGTATCATAAGGATACTACGCAGGACAACAGCGAGCAGCAACAGCAACAGGCAGTGAGCGAGCAGATTTTTTTAAAAGGAGATTGACAGGTATAAGAATAGGGGACTACTCATGAGTGGACTGTAAGAAAAACATGTTAGGAGTTACGCAGACTGATTGACCAATAGCGTGAACTGTTGTTATAATATTCTTCTATGCAAGCTGTAAAACTTATTTGGTCATAGCTGTAACTGATGATAAACATTTAGTAATAACACCGGACGAGAGTAATTATATTATTATTTGATATGTTTCAAGAGATTTATTAATATATGATTTAGTGCTAATATTTACTAAAAAAATAGTTTAAAAAGACATAAAACACGTTTATTTCCAAAGTTATTTAACTCTAGCTGTATCTGAGCTAAGTGGATTACTTGTGCAATAGAAAATACTACTCTAGAGCAGTTTCCCCTCATTATTGTTAATGAGTCATGAACAGCTCTCATCTATTGCAGAGGTGGTCCTGTAGGCAGTTGCTAGTCAGGCACACATTCTTAAATTCTCAAAGATTACAATGTTTCCTTACAAAGCAAAGACTAGTTTGATTTTTAGTATTTCGTTGTTACTTCATTTTTCAGTTTGGCGTGCGATGGAGCTCAGATAGATTACAACGGGGCGTGCAACATCACCGATGCCAGCCAAATTCTCAGTCAATGTTCGTGTTCAAATAATTACGACCCCGCATGTGGTGTCGACGGAAATACTTATACCAACGTGTGCACGTAAGTACTTTCCACTAGTATAAGATAGGTTTATAAGAGGTTTTATAGTTGAGGGATTTTTTCTTTTGCAGTAAGAAGTAAATACGTATCTCTTTCACTGAGTATTTAAATACACACAATATTTTCTGTCTCCAGTTCTTATGTCTAGATGTGTGTGCACTGAAGACAGAAATAAACAACTAGAGATAATATGAGAAATATAATCTAATGATAATAAAACGTTTAGTTGGTTTGTGTACGCTTCAAAAACTCAAAAGGGTCTGCACTGATTGAGGTCAATTTTTTTTATGGTATAAGGGGGCAAACGAGCAGACGGGTCACCTAATGGTAAGTAACAACCTTCGCCCATGGACACCTGCAATTCAAAAGTCACAAGTCTCATCAACGTGGCAAGGTACAGCTAGTATTTAATATGCATTATTCTTTTTTACATATTTTTCATATTAATATTATAATATACATAACAGTATATGTAATTATACACTAATTATGTCAGCTGTAAGTCGTTCCGGACGCCTATATACCTACCTAAGTCTTTTGAATGATCAAATATAATTTTGATCTAGCAATTCAGCTCAATCTCTCGTTGTTACAATGACTATACTATGAGATTCCTCTCATAGTATAATCATTGCATTCATTAGAAATGGCTAGACAGGAATGATTATGCCTTATTTATTGCACATCGTGAGGTAGATAGGTCATTGAAATACAGAAGTCGCATAGCACATAGCCTCCCCCTTCCATTGTTAGACTGCGATGTTTCTACCTTAAGAATTCGGAAGTTACTTAAACAAGTTTTAGACATACAGTTTAAATAAAAATGCGTTTATTTTCAGAGCCGCGTGCGCAGGCGTGCAGGTGGAGTACATGGGAGAGTGCAAATCTGCAAAATATAATGATAGGTGTTATTGTTCAACAATTTATCAACCAGTTTGTGGCCAGGACGGTGTGACCTATGAAAATAATTGTATGTGAGTATCTGTTGGGGATGGTGATATATTCACTGAGAATGGCAATGACATGGAGAAGCCTTCTACTGGGAAAGCTCTTCGATGTCATTGTTTTATTCAAAGAGGCAGTAGAAGTTAGGTGACTTTTGAAAAGAATAATCACGATTGTCTTATAACCGTTATATGTATGTATTGTGGGTTCGATCCCCACATGACACAACATTCTGTGTGATCCACAAATTGTTGTTCTGAGTCTGTGTCCTTTGCGTTTGTCTGAACGAATATTAGTAAAGTCCCCCGCGACATATTTTATTTTTTTAATGCGGGAGTTGTCTTAAAAAAAACCGTTCAACAATCTTCTTCGTGTGTTAGTTCGCTGCTTTTGTCTAAACGCGCATCGGGTATACAAAACTATATCATCCATATAAAACAGAATACTGTTATCATATACCAGACTCTATATTTTAATGGATGCAATGAACGGTAGGAGAAGGGACCTAGCGAGTCGATTTACTAAGATTTCGGCACGTAAACTATTCAACCATTTGTACAAATCAATTGCTGAAGTTACAATTACATAAGTTTCACGTTCCTTAGACTCTGTCAGGTCTTGTCTGGTTTGTGAGACATTCCAGATTATTCGTTCCATGATGTCCTTTCTTCTTCTACTTATTTTATTCAGTGTTTGCTCTATCCAACTTCTTATAATTTTGTACATCATCATCATGTAGGTATCCGTGTGGTGATTAAGAATATGGAATGTCACCACCCCTAATCATCCCGTGGGTATCGTAAGAGCCGACTAAGGGAGCAAACTCATCAGGACAACAGCACTGCAAAGAGAAGGAAAACTTGACACAAACCCTATACCAACGCGTCTGGTCAGCGTGGTATAGTAGGCCAAAAGCTCCTTTCTAAGAAGCCTATAATAGTTCACTGCTGAACATAAGTTCAGCAGTGAACTATTATAGGCTGTTTATGGGATGTGTGATGTGATGTAATCATGTAGGTACGTGTAAGAACATTTTAATCACCTGTACATTTTAATATTTTCTTTCAGATTGACGTGTCTAAGAGTCCAGTTAAAGTACGAAGGCGCCTGCTTTTAGTACAAGTTCTCTGTTAATACTTCGTACTGTTCAAATATCAGTCAGTCAGTTTGGATTTTAAAGTGTTATTTAGTGTTTTAGCCAATGCAAAATTATTAAAAAAGGATTATTGTAATTAGTATGTTTTATTTAAAGAAGTCTAATCGGAATGAAAAAAAAATCCCACAAATATCAGGAACCTTGACAGTCAACACTTATAGTATTAACGACTAAAAATAGCAGAAAATTTAACTTACGATATGCCCAGATACAGTTTTGTTATGTTTTTCTTACTTGTGTAATAAATTTTAAAGACATTAACATTTGAAAATAATCATCTTAATATGATTCTCTACAAAAACGCCATTTGCTGTTCAAACACTCATCTCACTGCCAATAGATAATAAGACAAAGTAAACTAATCAGTACACCACACTTTGTTGTAACAAATTATGCATTTACATCCTTCTTCATTTTATGATATTGAAAAATGAATTGCTGCACAGTTGGCGTAGTTGTTTAAGCCGTCGCCACGCCGCTTCCTACTGCGACGATTGTTGTGGGTTCAAACCCCACATGGGACGACACTTTGTGTGATCCACAAATTGTTGTTCTGAGTCTGGGTGTTCTTTTGTCCGTTACATGTGTGTTTGTAAAGTCCCCCACGACACAGGATATATCCCTAGTGCGGGAGTTGTCATTTTGTTTTTTAATTCTACATTCCTCTACATTCATTTGGTGTTGACTTAAGCGTTGAATTCATGTTTAAAACAGATGATGTGAGTATATGAATTTAAAAAAATTATTAACCTATTTAATAGTAATCGAGGTATGCAAGCCTGATTGATTCCATATATTTCCTATAAACAATACCTTACCAACTTTATATTTTCATATAGTCCTAATATTTTTTTCTATAATTCTCAAAGAGCCCAGTTGAAGGTAAAACGCTTAGTTCTTGTTTAGTGAAGAATACAAAATAATGCCAAAATTCGGGTGCCGACCTCTGCCTACCGACTCAGGAACATAGGAGTCACTGGATTATAACATACATTATTTTGTATGTCTATCTGTATTCTTGAACCAAAATTATGAATAGAAAATTACTCCTGGAATATTATATTATCTCGTTGAATGCCCGTAAATGCCTTTATCACTAATTTCAGCATAAATTTGTATGAATGTAAGTACCGTATACTAAAGTTAATCGACTTTAACGGTAGTAAATGGAAATTGGCTGTGATATGCGTGTATACGCACGACGACGTATAGGTACAACAGATAATATTGAAATTACGCAAACCACACGTTTACTTTTGGTGGAGAGGAACACCTTTGTCAGGTATTTTATATTTCCACCGAATATTATATTTGCATGTATAAGCTCTGTAGTGACATAATGATATTTACAGTTACAGTATATACAGTATGACTAATAAAATGCCTCTTAACATAATAATCGAAACATAATCCCAAATTTACAATGTTCAAATTTAGTCATTAAGTAGCTTTATTGCTGCTATGTGAAGTGATTTTCTTTTAACTGATATTTTTTTTTTATTTATTTATTTATTTGGAAACTTAACAGCTATGTTACATATATCATGGGTGAAGTTAAACATTTTTTAGACTCTTAGCCAATAATAAAGTTTCACGACGAGTAAAAGAAAATTGCGTGCACCACTTAAACATAGGCAATTGTACGTATTATATACTATCTATAATTTAATTTATATAAGGTATATTGTGCAGAGTGAGAAGTATTCATAAAGAAAGCAACTTACAAAAACAATCTTAATTTGGACTCATAAGTATGATTGCAACTTTTTAGTTATTTGTCTTTTAAATGCACTTTTTGAGAGGTGGAAGATGTCGATCTCGTCAAAATTAATATTGTAACACCTAGGCAAACGAGTGAGAACAGAATTCTTAGCATAATTGGTGCGGTGCAGAGGAACACTGAACAGGCGCGTATGTCTAGTACGAGCCCCGGGTGTATTCAAGCTAATATTAGAGAGAAGTTCGATACTATCAATTTCACCTCGAATGATAGCGAACAAAAAGCTCATGTCTAGTAACACACGCCTACTAGATAGAGGCAGCAGATCATAGTGCTTGCAGTCGTCAAGATATGATAAATGTCGTCTCCTTGTCTTAAAATGTAGTACTATACACATACATAAAAATATAAATAATTAAAAAAGATACCTCTATCTTCTTACTATATCTCAATTTTATTAGAGTTGGAGTAACGTGTTTCGTGTATCAGCGTGGATCCACCCCTTCATAGGAATGATTTGTGTTTTGACTAGATATAGGAAGAAAGTAAATTAGAATAATGAATACGTACAAACATACCATCATCATCAATAGCCTTTAACAGACCACTCCTGGACATAGGCCTCTACGAAGATAGTTTTGGCCTACTTTACCACACTGCCCAGACGATTTTGTCAAGTGTTCCTTCTCGTTACAGTCCTGTTGTCCTGTGTAGTTTGCTTACGACGCCCACGGGATGATTAGAGGTAGTGATACTCCATATTTTTAATCCGTCACCACACGGCAAACGTCATATATACCGAACATAAATAATTATACCAATATTAAATCTAACAGTTTTACCATTACGTACACTTACGTCGTGTTTAGTATTTACATGAAACTGAGATAATATTTGTCGATTACGAGAGTATGTTTGTTTATTTGCTACCTAAGTTATAAAAAAGATTTTTCCATTTCCTTCACTGCGTATACAGTGAACATCATTTAAAAAAAAATGCAATCACGTAAACTCTGTAAGTTTGTATGCATTGCATTTACAACTTGTAAAATGCATCGAATGAATTCGTTCGGTCCACGGATCTACAAAACGTGCTTCAGATAAAAAGCACCCTTGATATGTTGGATTCCATTCTTTCATCGACATTATCGGAAGCTTATTTGCATAAAATGTGTAGAATTCCAGATGGTTTGGAGGTTTGGTGAGGTCGGTGGTATATTTTATTCTATTACTTCTCAGATAAAAGGGTTACGTGACTATTATAAAGATTGTTACACGTGCCAAATATCGTCACGGGTTATTCAAACAAGGGCAGGGAGCCTATTATACGAGTACGTCTTGAGGGTCGCTATTTTTTTATCATTTTTTATAGTTTAGGTGGTGGTTTATCCGTGTGATGGATTAAGAACACGGAGTGTCACCACCCCTATTCATCCCGTGGGTGTAACAAGAATCGACTAAGGGAGCAAAGTATGCATGGCAACAGCACTGCAAAGAGAAGGAAAGCTTGAAATAAACCCTATACCCACCCGTCTGACCAGCGTAGTATAATAGGCAAAAACCTCCTTTCTACGGAGAGGCCTATATGTAGTAGTGGACTATTAAAGGCTGTTGATGAGATGGCAAAGAAGCAGACGGCTCAACCGATGTGAGACACTTCCAACCCAAGAGTCACGAGTGTTTTGCGGCTCTTTCAAGCACCTACAGGGGTAAAATAATAATAATAATAATCTACACATTCACACAACGCCATCTCGTCTTAAATTAAGCAGTCCTTGTACTATGAGTACTAGACAACTGATATAAATACATATATACTTTTTGAAGTGAAAACTTCTTTAGGTGCGATGGGCATGTTTTGAAATGGGAAAAAACAATTGAACTCGCGACACAGTTACCGTTACCGTTACTGACACCTCTGTATATAAGTATACAAGTTTCCACTTCTGCCGGCACTCCCGGAGTACCACTGTTTTTTTATTAAACATTAACAATACGTTTATTTTTCATACTTAAAGTCTGCCAAACTGTCAAAACAGTTTGTCGGCAGCAGTTCTTGTTAAAGGATGCATAATAATGTTTTTTTTTTTATTTTCTTTATTAGGAATAAAAAACCACATACTCCTGGCTCCTATATCCACTCCATCAACAAAAAAA